TTCACATCAAGTCTGAAGCTTTCAGGGGAGCATCCGCACAGGAGTCTGTTCCATAGAGTCACAGTTCTTGCGGGAAATGCAGTCTGAGTGGAACGTTCTTTGATTTTGAATATGGGGGCAATGACGGCGATCTGACTCCGTGAGTGCGGCATGGCGTCTCTTAGTTGTAAGCAACTGAATTGGTGGAACTAAAGAATGGCGCGCACCTGAACATTTTCTTTGCAAATAGCGATATGTATCACTACATGCTAATGGACACACAACGTGGCGGCCTCTGCGAAAGATGTGTTATAAGATAAAATAAGACATATCTCGGCTGATTTCCAGGCAAATAAACTAACATACTCAAGAGCAAGAGCCGGATGTGAACATGACAAGGCCCCGTCACAAAATGACCATCATCGTCGTTTGCGCATAGGCCCGACCCACGAGTTCCGGTCGAAAAATAAAATAATATTTTAAATTGTTTCTATTTTTCGACCAATAAAAATGCTTCCCTGCTAAATATGCTCGCGTCGTTTTCTGAGCCTGTTAAGCCATAAAAACATCATAAAAAGGGTCACACGGGGAAGTACTGGCAGTCAACAGGAGGCCAGGTAAGAGATCTGTCACGGTCAGTCTGGGCAGTCAGCAGCAGGCAGCAGGAGGAGCTCCACCCCAACAGTGAGAACTACTATGAGAGATCAACCCAGATCGGCGACCGGCTTATGAAAGATACCACAAGGTAGCTATCCCAAACCCACACGTTCCTATTGAAGTAAATCACGTAAATCTATTTCTGCTGTTGTCGTATTTCTTTCTTGCAACCATACGCTTGTCTATAACAGATGTAACCAGTGGAAAATAAGTCGTTCATCATCAAATTGAGTATAGGATTTTAAATTATATATATATATATATATATATTGTCATTCACAGACAGATTGTTTCTTTGTTTCACAGCTCATCAGTGTGAGTAGACATCCGATTGCCTCAAGCCAGGGATGAAACCCGACTGATTTGTGATATGTCGGAGTTTTTTCCCCTAAACCATGACAGGGATGAAGGTGAATTTAGGCGTATTTATTTTTAGACACACACACCAGTGACCGGGGAACTCGATTCGTCTTAACGAGGAGTCTTGCATAAGCAGCAATAATAGTCACTGTTTACAAATTCACTTTTCTCCCTAAAGAGCTCAAACGAAATAATTTTTTCAGGAGCATGTATATATATATTGACATCCACAGAGAGACTGTTTCACAGCTCATTAATATGACATTTCAATTGGGATTTGCGATAAACGTCTGTCCTAAACTTTACAGATTTACTGAAAATGCAGCTGTTCACCAAGACCGAAAGAAAGTAAAGAATTCTTCTGAATAAGAGTTTTATACCTTGTTTACTGTTTAGAATTGGGTTTCCTACGGTTTTCTCATTCTCGTAGCTCCTTGCACCTTAGTGACTCTATCGCCTTGCTTGGGGTGAATTGATTAAAATTATACATACACAGGAAAAACGTTAGGATATTTTCGGATCATTTGTCCGAATCACTTCGTTACTGTTGTTTTTATCACAATAATTCGATCGGTAAACTATGACATTTTAGGATATGCAACCATCTTCAGAGGATGTACATGCTCTGCAAACCTACGAATATCCCATTCAATTCATCTATACGGGAGTTTTCTTGGACTATCCCCTTTGATCCACTCCTTGCAAACGTGATCTTGCACTGAACTAGATTAATTTTAACTGTACTTCCATTGTCTGCGTGATATATTTCGAACATCAAATTCATGACGTGTTATTCAATTGGTGATTCTCATGTATTATTGTTGTCTACGCCTGACTTGCTGATACAATCCTCTAAACATCGTAAGTGCGGATTCCGTTATCTATATTATTAACAAATGTTGCTCACTGTTAATAATACATTTGATGTGTCACCACACTTTCTACATATGGTAAGCAGTTTTACTTCACAGACAAAATTCACTTTCATACAACCTGCCACAACTCCATAGAATGTTGTACATGCAATTCTTGATAATGTCTTTCTTTCAGTAGAGGATTTGCTTTGGTGAATTATTTAACTATGTTGGCATAACTTATGAATGAAAACTTCGTCACATGTTTGAATGACTGCATCTAGTTTTCCATGTTTTTACCTCATCTTATAGTTGCTGTTGGGATTTTAGTCGTCTGAGAGTTGTGTCTTTGGTGGGAGGGGTGAGTCATTCTGTTTATTATTTATGAGAAAGTTTCTTGCTCACCACTTGTCAATAAAGGGAAAAACTGACTTTTAACCTCCAATATCACCAAAACCAATCTAGTAACGTTCTATGATCGACGAGGAAGGCTTGAATGGTTTTTCATTCGTGAAGAGCGGTTGTACTTGTACTGAGGCTTCTTGCCTTGAGCATTTATTCGAACTCGGGTTCACACCCACTCTACGGCGGATCATATATAAGCCATCTCTAGAGATGCTGGAAAATGGTCACTTCCTTGTGCTGCCTCCTCCTGCTCTGCTCGATCTTTACAAATTCAGACCAGAACGAAAATGCTGCCATATTCGACTGAAACTGCCTATTCTTCACTTTCCAGTTGTGGCAATGGCTTATTTTAAAATATACATTATTTTCCCCAGTAAAAAAAAATGTCGCAATAACCATAACAGATGTTCAGACGAGTTACATTCCTCAGTTACGCCAGTTACAGCTAGGGACCTCTATGCCACATACACAGGGTTGAATCCTCCTTATTCACTTCGTATTTCATTGATAAGGAGGAAGTTCTGTTCTGACATCATCTTTCACAAGACTGAGGAGGATGCTCCCCCTATTACTACAGTCTTAGCCTCTTCAAGCCTCAGGTCAACCGTTACCTATCCTCATAATATTTTTTCTTCCTCCTTATATATACAAAACCTCAGTCAGTAGTCCTCAAGCTTGTGTGGATCTTGGGCCTTGTATTATGTGAAAAATTTCTAAAATATGCGTGTTTGCTCTGTAGTTACTGGGGAAGGGTAATAATTCAACGCGTAAATCAACAGGGAACTGTTTCAAGTTTTGCAGAATCAGATATGTCGTGTGTGGGAGGGAAAGCTCATGCAATCTCAAGACAATGGTGAGAGTTTCAAATTAAATCAAACAAATTCGACAAGTACAGAGACTTAAATGTTACATTTTTAAAAAAAAAGCATAATGACGGTAATTAGTCTGAATGAATAAGAAATGCAATAAGCAAATTTCGCATTTTCTTAAACATTCCGTCAAAAAAATAGAAATTGGGTTGCTCATAATAATACAGTGAGTTTCAAAAGTTGCATTACCATACATAAACTTGTAAATTTTATATTTATTTAACAAATTAAATCATGCTTTTGTATGTGACAATGTTGTATTAAATTTTTTTTTCGAAATATGGAAGATGAGAACGAATTAAAATTTCCCTGGTTGCTGTTTCCCAAATGTATGTTGTTGGCCAATTGTCGCGTGACTTTTGGAACGCCGTTTATAATCTATGAGGCACACGTTAGTTTGAATGAATCGAAATGTTTCGTAAATAAGAGCTGTCTCTTGTGTTTTTACTCATGGCAGTGAATTGTGGGCAATCTCCACACAGATGAAGAAGAGACCTTTTGCAATAGAAATGTGCTTCTACAGAAGGATGCTGATAATATGATGGATTGAACATGTGAGCACCGACGAAGATTAGGAGAAAAAAAAAGAACTTGAACTTAGAACCAGAAAGAAACACTTGAAATTTCTAGGGCTCATAACGTGGAAAAGGGGGTTTAGATAATTTCACCTTCACAAGACATATTGAATGCAAAAGGGGCAAATCTTATCTCCTTGAGTTTTTGGCGGGTGTATAGATTTATCTCTTGTTTAGAATTGGGTTTCTAGTTCTTTCTCTTTCACTTCCGTTGGACCCTTGCCTCTTGGTGCCATTATCACGTTGCTTGGTGTGGTATGTCTTAATCTGTAATTGCACAAAAAGAAAACAAAATAACGAACTTGTATCAATGGTAGACAGAATAGGAGTTAAAAGATATAGCGAAAAAAGAAATTTTACTAAGAGCTGTAAAGGACAAGAAATTGTGGAGAACCATGTTCACCAACGTCCTAAAGGAAGATGGTCCATAGAAGAATACTTATTTATCTAGAAAAGAGTCCTTTCCTCTTTATAACGATTCTCCGTGCAATGTCGTGATTCCAAAAATGACAGTTCAAAAATAGAATAAAATGGTTCAACATTCAGTTGGAAAAATAGATTTTTAAAAGCAAATACGGTGGTCTCTGAGAAATTATTTGGAATTTAAAATCGAGTTGAAAAAAATATATTTACAAAATTAGCAACCGTGTTTCCGTTAATGTTTGTTACAGGTTTCATAGAAAATACCAGATGCAGTAATATTTCTAATACATGAAGTATTTTCTTCTTTTCTGTAACGTTGTGGTTTATTAGCATTCTTTCAACTATATCACCCTGGCGGTAATTTAAACTGACACCGTCATCTTTTCTATATATACAAACTATAATTATAAATTCTAATACTGAAGGGAAAATTTCACTGAAATATGTTAAAAAAATTACAAGATTTTCATTTGAAATAAAAAATAAATAAATGCGAGCTTTAAGCAAATTAATCAGAATATATTGTAAAAAAGAAGATGTGTGTTTAAAATGACACCAGCTGAATATGAGATAACTGTTCTGGCTCTTGGTACTTGTATTAGAGTGGTTGCCTTTGTTTCGATGCATATCGTTATTCAATGCCGAAATCTAAATATTTTGTACGCAATTTTTTATTTATTTATTTGTTGAGATAATAATAATTTTAGTGATACAAGTTTTACTAATTCACCCATAGCTGGAGTAGAAGAGTTGGATTCATACATTTTCGAAAGGTATTTGCACGTAAGTGAATATAACAAACGCAACGTGAATTAGAACTTGGCTCTCCGATTAATAATTCCGAACTTTTATCCATTACACCACCTGCACATCCAAGCTCACAGCACCTGCTATTCCCAAGCGATCACCCATCTAGGCACGATGTTGTTTAACTTCGGTGATCGTACGGGAATCAGTGTTTCATCATGATATGGACAGAATTCCCTTGTACAGGTTGGCCACTGAAAGACTGAATGATATAAAACAAAAATATTTTTTTACAAACGGTTGAATATCATGGAGCAATAAAGTTTGGACTGTTTGAATCAGTATGGAAACATTTTTAAATACAGTTTCAGAATCTTTTGAAGTGATTTTCTGGAGATGTCAAGTTGTGCAAAGCAACGACCAGTAGGAAGTTATGTATCTTCGAGGACACTCTGCCGTGCCAGTGTGCACAGTGCACTTAGGACCTCTTCCTGGAAGATCGCCGACTGATCGAGATTAAGTTCCTAATCATGTTATCGCTGGTAGATGCTCTGACATTAAAATATTGCCTGTATTTACTCGGAGTTTAAGTAATTGAACATTCAATGGAATAGAAAAACTCAATGAGATTTACTCATTGCTGAACATCAAGCATAGCCATTTTAATCTCCAAAGGATGCTCTATAACCTATAAAAAATAAAAATAAAATAAAATAAAATAAAAATAAATAAAAAAGATTGAAAATGAACAAGTTATGACTTTTTCAAACTCTTCAATCTTTCCGTTGCCACTCTAAGTATTTCTTAAAATAAGTGTGTTGTGCTCTGTATTTACTGGGTCGGGGGGGGTACCAGTTCAAGAGGGAACAGTTTCAAGTGCTGCAATATCAGATATATCGTGTATGGGAGGGAAAGCTCATGACATCTGAGATCAATGGCAAGAATTTTAAATTACAACACATAAATTCTATTAGTACATCGACTTAAAAGTTACATTAAAAAACTTAATGACAGCAATTAGTCTGCATCAATAAGAAATGCAATAGTAATACGTCGTGTTATGTTACTGAATGAATGAGAATTAAATAACTTTTCCAAATAGAATAAAAAAAGAAGCAAAATATCAGTTTTCTATGCAACTAGATCATTCATGTTAATTGTTTGGATGATTTTGTTTGGATGATTTTGTTTGGCAGTATATCAACCCCAATGGGTTATTTAATGCCGAAATCTAAATATTTTATACATAACTCTATACTTACACAGAAAACTTATGTTTTGTAGATATATATATTTTGGAGATAATAAAATGTATTTTTGGTAATCTTTCTAGAAAAATGTATTTTTATAATTTAGTGTTACAGTGGTTGTCATTTTATTATAAAAAAGTACTGTTTTTTTTTGGTGAGGGGTCACTATTTTCCCATAGACGGGACCCTAACAGGGTCTACCACCTCGAGTCAGGCTGGACCTGGGAAAACACAGCAATTAATAGATGGTTCCACGCTCCTCAAGACCTCCAATCTTGCGATTACAGGCCTTGCTGCCGGATGTAATTTATCGTCATACCCAGGACGATAATAACTATAAAATTTAAAGTAATTTTCAGGTAATAAGAAGGGCTGCTGAAAATTAATCCTTCCGACAAGGAAGCCCTATTCCTAAAATATGATATTTAGCCGTTTAATCAGATTTGAAGAAGCGGTTCGTGAAGAGAACTTTTCAGCTCCCACTCGTATTGAACTGTTACAAAGAAATTCTCATACAAAAATCGTAACGAATAAAATTGTTTAAATTGTATAAATCCTCATTAGGCCAACTTCATTAGTTCAAAAGCGGAACACACACGTCGATTATTAACATAAGCACATTTAACATCAAAGTCGTGTGCTTATTTTGACTGTAAATTCTCAAAACATAAACATAATTAAAATATAAAACGGATTCATTAAATTCGTTCTCTAAATAAACAAACCCTAAAATAGCAATTCCTCAAAGTTTAACGCAACGTTTGTTCAACTGTAGTTCTTCTTTATGCAATTAAGTATAATTCAAATAAATTAAGCAGCTAGCAATTACATTAACTTCAACTGTGATAAAAAACAAATCAAGTTCGTACACAACACGATTTATTAAATTTAGTTATTTAAAAGTGATTTTCAAATGTAGATCATTGCGTCAGCCTGACCTTTTTAAGAAAGATGTTGCATCAAATCTTTACGACATGCAAGGGGACGTTAGCCTTTTAAATGCCCGTCGAGATGATCAAGACGATGATAACGGCGACCATTAGCTTTGTCCTTAACGCCAGGTTCACCGCTGGGTTTTGGCAATTCATCACGAGACTAATATCCTTTTGGCGAATATTCGGACTCCCTCAATTTCCTGTTCAGGTTCGCTTCGAATATCGGCCATCTCTCATACCCCCAGGCGTTCCTATGTGTTGCTTGGATGTACCATTTCCGTGTGGCGGATGAGACCTGCGGAATATTTAAAGAGGCAACATAGAATTCGCATTTCGAAACAGAAAGTGATCATCTGCTTGCAAGCAGAGAAACTCTTCTGTTCCATTTGAACTGCACGTTTGTTGCACAATGCGTAAGAAGAGGAAACCGGAAGGTAGAGCGGAAAATGTCTCATATTCAATATTTTCATTTAACTCACATTAATAGCTAGCTTTCTTTAGGCCGTAATCTCTTCCCTTTCTGCTCGCTTCATTTTCTTCGTATCGATCTCTAACTGTTTACATATGTCGCTAATATCTGCCTGATCATGCAACTCTTTCATATTAAGACCTGAATGTGTTCGGTTGTGTATTTTACAGATCAGTGTTCAATTTCAAATAAAACCAGTATTTCAAATGGTGCTAATAGATCAGGACAAATCTTCACAAATGGCGAACTGGCGTCACTACATCACTTTAATACATTTTTTTTTTACTCTACTACATTCTTTCTTTCTTTCTTTCTTCCTTTTGTTTCTATCTATGTCTTGCGGTATATTTTTCTCTATATATTTATCGAGGTAACGCAATCTATTTCTCTTTAACTTTTGTAGTCTATTTCTCCCTAGATATTTATCGATCTCGGTATAGTGTCACCCACTCCCCCTCTCTAGCACTCTCTATCTATTTTACTCTATCTCTCTAGTATATTTTTCTCTCTATCAATCTATCGCAGTCTATTTCTTCTCTCTATATATTTCTTTTTCTATCTATCTATCTATCTATCTATCTATCTATCTATCTATCGCGGTATATTTCCTCTGTTTATCTGTCTAGATATCGCAGTCTATTGTTTCTACCTTTTGCAATCTGCTTCTCTCTAGTTAGATATATAGCTATAGCAGTCTATTTTCTCTCCCTCTTCTCTCTTTATTTACCGCACTATTTTTTCTCTATCTCATGCAGTATATATGTTCTATATATCTGTCTATCAGAGTCTATAACCCCCTCTCTTTCTAAATCTATTTCTCTCTACCTTTTGCAAATCTAATTCTCTCTTTCTCTCTCTGTATATATTATATATATATATCAAAATATTTTCTCTTCCCCTTCTCTCTCTATCGATCGCACTATTTTTCCTCCATCTATGTCATGCAGTATATATTTTCTGTCTATAACAGCTTATTCCACACTCTCTCTCAGTCTGTTCAATGTCTGTCTGTCTGTCTCCCTCTCACTCACTCACACACACACACACTCTCTCTCTCTCTCTCTATATATATATATATATATATATATATATATATATATATTGTTATGGTAACTTACCCACGCACGCACGGTATATTCTCTATCTGTCCATCTATCGCAATTTTTTCTCTCCCTCGCCATCTATCTATCTATCTATCTATATTGTATTATTTTTTCATTTATTTATTAATAGTATATTATTTCAGAAGAAAATGTAAAATTAATAATTCCACAAAAACACTTGCATTAAGTATTTTATATATTTTTTGAATATTTTGTATATTAAATATGTATATATTTTGTATATTTATGTTCTGACACAGTTTAACTTCTGTCATAGAATGTTGACTGATTTCTAAAGAGCCATATTTTCATGTTACCGTTAGATAGAATTTCGTCTTTTTCTCCTAGCCAATATTGATAAGCCAGTAGTCCAGGGTGTATAAGACAGTCTGCTTTCTTTCTACAAAAATGAACATAAATAGATCGGTATTTTAAACTGCAGAAAGAAAGAATTGGTATGTGCGGGTAGATTAACACCGACGCAGAATGTGGAGTCAGCGAAACGGCTTCAAATGCCTGCTTGGCTGATGGGCTCAATTCCGAAAAAAAATCCCTTGGGAAAGGTTTGGATCCTTTTGTCCTTTCTCTACAACAATCTGTTAAATAGCATGTCTCTTATTTTGGATGAAAAAAAGAAAACAGACTAGTATAATGAAACTCTGAATTCAAAACAAGAAGGCAGCGGGAAAACACTCCACCAACTTTCCCAAGAAGATATGACCGTTCATAGATTATAAAATCGGAGGAAATAATGGAGAGCTATGATCACCTGTATACTAATGGGACATCGTCATGTCACGAAACCTATTAGTAAGAGTACCATGTATCTTAGGAGTATCATATATACAGCAGGCGTAGCAGTAGTAGTAGTAGTCGTAGTGTCAAGAATATGACATCTTTAATTACGTTACACCTCTTAGGGTTGGTTATGAATATGTTTTAAACAATTTACCCGAAACAAGGCAATAAAGCCACTAAGGTAACAAAGAATTACAAAATTAAAGCGAGAGAGAGGACAATAAAAGAACAGATTTCAGGGCAGTAGAAGATGACGTGAAACTCGATATAGTAGAGTCAAAGGGAAGTTATATTACGATGATGAAAAAATGACAGAACCTGAGATGCCAGGTTAGCAGCGATAAATTTGCGGATTCTTCTTTGGGATTCATAAAATGATCTCGATACACACAGGAGGCGCAACAGACCAGATGTTGCAGCAATATTACACAGACGAATAATAGACTTATACATGCATAGATTTTAGCGGGAAAATCTCTAGGACATCATAGTGCAGTTTCTAGCACCAAACTTAGTAACTGATTCAATATAATCACTTCACTTCATGCTAGTGAAAAACCAGAGAACTAGAAAGAGTCGTGAGTTTCTCTCTGCCATGCTAAGGGAAAGCAAAAACGTTCCTTAAGATGATTAATAGAGAGTAGTTGCATTTTAGAGGCGTTAAAATTAACAAGC